GCAGCCAGTGTGAAATTTGGCATGTATGCCGCTGGCTTCAATGCATCATTAAAAAGGCATTTTAGATGTGTTAATTCCTCCTTTTTCAATTAATTACTTTTAAAGCTACATTAACATGCATCAAACCAAAACACCCTTTGCCCTAATTTCTGCTTTGCCATACATATTTCCTGGCCTTGGTGCCGACTCTTCCAAGACTCCCCCCTTCCCTTTCCTTATTCCATTTTTTTAGTCTGTAGCGCAACAAAAACACTCACGCAGAAAGGGAAGAAATTAAAACCCTTCAACAAAGTAAAGCAGAGGCCAAGTCCTAACAACACATGGCTTCTTAATAGCCTTTTTTCCATCAATAGCTGTTAATTATTTTACAAAAGAGGGAAGTGGCATTGTCCCTTGTACGAATGGGGAAATCTGAGATACAGAAAGGGGAAGAGACTTACCCAGTGACCAGCGGCCTGCCAGGACAGATGGCAGCAAGGTTCAGGTTTCCTAAGCCTCTACCCAGCCTCGTCCTGTGGGACTACATGGCTCCCCGCTATTCCTGCGGGAGCGATAGGCTACGCGTAAGTGCAGCCAGCCAGCCCTTGCAAGGGGACTAAACGCAGATCACAACTGACTCACATCCTATAGGAAGGAGCAGCAAACCACGTACGTGGTGGAAAAGCAAGTCTCAGAAATGGGAAGAAGAACAAGTGGAAGCATAATGGGAATAAGAAGAAATGGGAGAGGCAGGACTCCCTCCGGCTCTGGCGAGGGGAGAGCAGGCGCTGCTCGACCAGACGCGCCAGGCTCGCCGTCCCCACGGGGCAGGATCGCACGCAGCACCAGCTGCGCACGTATGCGCAGAGACAGGGGATCACGCAGATACATTACTGGCCTACTCTGGAGCTGTCTGTTTTACTCCCATCCGCTGTTACGTGATGGAGGCCTGTGACTTTCTCTATTGGAAAGAAAGCAGAAGCCACCGAGGGTCCTGGGAACCAGCTCCTGCATCTCTGCCAAGAGCACACCCGGCAAATCTGCATCATGGCAGCTCTTCCAGCAAATCTCACATCCAGGCTTACAGTGATTGAAAAAACAGTCCCGCTTTAGCTTTGCCTGGTTATTCTCAGCCAGCTCAAGGGAGCACCTTCTCGTAGGCAGCGTGAGCCCCCACTGGCAGAGGGGCCACGGGGAGATTTTGTTTCTTGCCCAGCAGACTGAGTTCGCCTGAGCCCTCCTGGCTCCGTCCAGCAGCAGGAGCACAGGACTATATGCACTGCAGCAATGTGCCAGCAACCCCTTTTGCAGGGAAAAAGATGCTCAAGTGGGGGAAAACAGGCAAGAAAAAACAACCTTCTCTTTCCTGGCTTGAAAGGAAACACCAGTGTTCGAGGCTATGAGCAACGTGAAGTTCGTAAGGAAAGGTAATATCTTTTACTAGACCAACCGAGATTTAGCTGTAAAGCTGCTGCTTTTGAAAGGCACGCTGCCCAAAAGCACGCCTGTTTTCCCCAGCTATAATGCGCTGATCCAAGAGAAGACATTACCCTCTCCTTACAAACCAAGCCTCGCCTGGAGCAAGGCTGCAGTGATCCTGAATGGGGTAAGGGGCCCAGCTCACCCCACATCTGGGAGTGGTAAATGAGGAATAAAAGACCTAAGAGATCCACTTCTCTTCTGGTGGTGGTAACGGGAAAAACTCTGCAACCTGTCGCCAGCATTTGCCGCATCGATTACTTCATCTGTGTTCAGAGCACAGATTATGGCCCAAAATAAAGGCCTTGGAAACGTGCAGGAATGGTGTTAACTTCTCTCCCCTGGACTGAAGGTTGGTAAACCCAATATAACCAGTAGCTTTCAGGGGCATGCTAACTCACACCAACACAGACCTGATACTGCGTCTCGGCTCCACCGCTGCTCTGAAACCAGAGACCAACAGGTACTCACTGCCTGAAAGCGATATCCACTGCTGCTGCGTTACAGTTCCATCCCCTGGGACAGTCAGGCTGGCACCCAGAGGGCATAAGCAACCCCCTACCTTCTTACTGAGGGTTTTGTGAAGCACTTTACGATGCAAAAATTAGCTCAATCTGCAAAATCACCATGAAAAGCAGTCCTAGCACTGTTACTTGGATGAGTAAATTGAGCTCCTCCCCACGCAGTGACAGCAACAACAGGGAATGGGGTAAGGGGTAAGCAAACAACTCCTAGGATACTCTGTCTAAACAGCCACCAGCGTGTTTAGTAATACTGGGCTCACGTGGTGCATCTCACCCAAAGAGCTCACCCGGCTTGCAAAGCTGCCCTAGATAAACTATCGAATGACTTTGTCAGGCACTGAGTCAGCAGCACAGATGGAATAGCAAATTTCTCTCCCCAGCTCTGGTCACTGGGACACGCGTCCTGCCGCCGCGCGTGTGCCACCGCTCCGAGACACGCGTCCTGCCGCCGCGCGTGTGCCACCGCTCCGAGACACGCACAGCTCACAGATGCACAAAGATTTCTGGCTCCGCACCCACCTTGCAGAGCACTTGCAGGAAGGGAGGAAGCTTGCAGAATAACCCCTGAGAACAGAGGACGTGATGAGCAAGCGGGGAAAAACACAGTGCTGCTAGAAGCGAAGCGTGGGCCAGCATGGGCAGGGATGGAGCAGAGTGGGAATTAGCTGCGTGGTGACGTGTTGTTTTAGGAGGTCGCATCAGCCAGGCGGAGGAGCTGACGGCAGTCATGGAGCTCAGCACAGAGCCTCTCGGAAAGGTCTTTAACAGCTCTTCTAGATGGTGATTTACACCATCAGAGCCCAGTGCCAAATTCAACTGTTGCTGGCTTAGCATGGACATAAGAAGTAATTTTACATATGTAAATAGCCCAGATATGCAAGTGTCCAGAGCTCATAGCCAAAGACCAGTCTCAGCTCTTTGCATGTCCTCTGGACCAGCACACCCAGAACAGCCCCAATAACATACTGAGGCTCAGGGCGACACACAGAGCAGCTGCAGGAGCTTTATCACGACCTTAATGTCCACAAACAGTATATAGACTAGTCTGAGGATGACTGCTCAAAAATAAAGCCAAAAGACTGCTATTAATCCAATTTTCCAAGCTGCAAAAGGCAGATATACCTTCGGAGCAGTGGTCCTACACCCCAGACTGGCCGCCTGCTCCCAATCACTTAACAGCGCTGAGATCATCCCAGTCTTGCAGTGAGCTCCATCAAATCCATTCTGGAAACAGTCCCTGCTAGTCTTGAGCAACTAATCCCAGTTCCACTTAGGCTCTCACCAGTCACGAACACCACTTTTTTTTTTCTTCCTTCCAGACCCTGAAATTACAAATGGCTCCACTAAAAGCATAATCTTGCCTTGCTGAATTGTGTCTCTCGGCTTTCTCTCTCTCTCTCTTTCATTAACAAATGTTTTAAGCCCCATAAAATGCACGTAATTCTTGGAAATGTGTCACAGACCAAGAAGCAAATGCAGCCCCTGAACTCACCAACTAATGCCTCAAGAGCAGCTATTAGAAACAAATAGCTGAGACAATACATGGTTTTCTGGTGAGAAGCAGAACAGAACTGCTGATGGAAATAACGTGCAGACAGAAAAGCCGTCCTGGTTTCCTCACGTCTTTGGAGGAGGATATTTTTTGTTTCGTGGCCAACAGTTTATTTTCCCCATGAGCCACTCTACCCAGCATCCCACGTGTATACTCAGAGCCACAACAACATATCCCGATGGCACAGAGAGCAGACTCCTGGCTGGTCACAGCATTGCCTCATTAAGATACATCTCAGAGGGAGCAGCAAAGACAGGACACAGAAGAGCCACAGCATCTCGGAGGCACCTTTTCAAAGGCAACACACTATCGAGAGCTAAAGGAGAGCAAGCTGATGTGTCTGGTGCATTTCTCATAGTCCCCGAGTTCAAATATAGCTCTTTAAAAAGGGCCACTCCATCCCTCCCAGCATCAGCTCTCCATTCCTAATTGGCAGTCCCTGCAGCCCTTTCCTCCAGGAGATCCAGCCAGACTTCCCTTGGCATCGGAACTACCCCGAAGTTAAATATCCATCTCCCTCAAGATGGGTCAGAGGGATCTCATGTAAAGGCCCACCAGTACTGTACGGATAAGAGATGTCTGAATATCCCAGCACTCCCAAGCAAGAGCTTTCTTGCCCACGCGTTACTTCAGTGAGCTCCCACAGAGATGCAGCAAACCATCCTGCGGTCCCAGGTAAGGATGCTGAGCTCCTTTTCATTTCACTGAGGGCTCAGACATCCCTGAAGCCCAGCCTGCAGCTGCATTAACCCTCGGTGCTCACAGCGCTGGAGCTCCCATCGGCAGCACAAGCCAGCTGCTCCCAGCCTGTTTACCCAGCAAGACTTTCCTGCCAACAACGAATATGTCCAAGCTCGAGGTAAAATCAAACACAATTTACCCCAACAGAGCATGAAAGTACATCCAAATAGGCACACAAGCGAGGGATTTCTCTTTGCAACATTTATTACATGCGCAGAGGGGACAATTGCAAGTAAACAATTTGCTTTGTTAAATCAGACTAGGACAAGGGCGGCTTTCCTGGGGAAGATTATATTAAAGAACCACCAGCAACCAATTCAAACCCTTCAAACACCACTATTAAATAAAGAGATGTGATAAATGAGAAAGGTCAAGTAAAAATCAAATCAGGGCATAGCATCCAGAAAAGCCAGACAGGACCATCCCTAATTAAGCCTAAAAGAGCTTCCATACTGTTCCGGCGCATCTAATAGCCCAGTAAATGCAAGCCCACGACTCTAATAGTTATGAGGAAAGCTGATACGCTTCTATTTCTCCAAAGACGTCACCCCAGCGCAGTGAGTATCATCCAACGCCACCAAGCGCTGTTTGATGCATCAGGAGCCACCAATCTACGCTGATTTCAGTAGCAGCTCAGAGCCTCAAAGGTAGCTCTACACAAGTCAAGAGGATCCCAAACCGCAGACCCCACACCCAGCTCCCATCCTGGGCTGTTGTCCCCTTACCTTTGAGGGATCCTCTGTCCCTCCCTGCTGGCTCTGGTTCAGGAGAGGAGAGTGCCGCATCAGGGGGTCCTGCAGCAGATCTAGGCGCGGTCTCTTGGTTTCAATGAACTCCAAGTCCGAAGGCTTAGTCAGGTCAGAGAGATAGGAATGTGCCTCGGTCCTCAGGTGCAACTCCTGAGATCTGGGGACAAAGAGAAAGGAACCTTTAGAGAACAAACCACCCCTGCTCTCCCCTGCTCTATGACTGAGGAGGACTTGAGGAGGACAGAGGGCTCAACTTCTGCCCGTTTCCCAGAAGGATGCACAGAGGGAGGCCAGGTGGCCCTGGACTCAAACATCTCAGGTCTTTGCAGATCCAGGAGGCACAGCTCCATAGCTAGGTCCCTTGGCATGGTGCATCCCCCGAAGTGTTCACTGCATGCAGGTAGAACCAGGCATCACCCTGGAGGAGCAGGACGTGGGGTGCAGCATCACCGCCATCCTAAAAGCCCAACAGGCCACCCTGCCCTCCTCAGCACCGCCTCTGTGTCACCTGGAAAGCCCCACTGCCATCTCCTGTCCCACTACACGTGGTGCATGGCTGTCCCTACACCAGGGCAAAGCACATGAGACTGCCGGTTTGAGCCGTCCCCGTCATGCCACATGGGTTGGGCTAGACAGAAAAAAGCCAAAGCTTGGAAAATCCTCAAATCTGGCCCATAAATCCCCCTGTGCCCCTAAGACCAGGCGGAGCTCCTTTCTGCCACGTTTGACTTATTTAGTCAAAGGTACCTGCACCACTGTTTATATTTAGCATCTTCTATAGGAATACCAAAGATTATATGCTGGGGAAAAAATGCATACTCCTCCATGGCTAGACAGTAGGGATTTATTTTTCCAGCATGGGGGAGGAAAGAAACCGGCCACATGTAGTTGCACATCTCTGACACGGACCTGGCAAGCTGTAAAGGCACATTATCCAGCGATAGCAACTGCACCGAGGAGTCACATCAGGCTCAAATATCTTTCACCCGTTAAATATGATGCAGTTGGTAATACCTGGAAATTGAGTTTGGTTTTGCTTTTTTTAAACAAATGTAAAACTTTTTTTTGTAGCTCTATTTTTCCTAGCAGGATTGTCTTGTGGGAATTGTAAAGGGATCCTACAAAAATACATTAAACCTTTTACTATGCCTAAGGATCAGCTTTGCTGCAGCAGCTCCAAGGGTGTGTTTTTAACACTTCAGGCAGAAGTGTCTCTTAAAAAAAATAAAAATAAAATGAAGCACAGGAGACTCAAAGCTTAGAAAAAAACCCCATGGCTTTTTTTCCTTTTCCCCTTAAAGAAGATTGTTCAAGTTCTCCCGAGCTGCGTGGTGAAGTATCCTCCCCAGTTACCAAACACTGACAAACTAAACAGCTCTTGAAGCTACTTGAAGGGAAGGAAGGGAGGGGACGCGTTTTGTCAAGAGCAAGCATAAAAACCAGGGGGTCTCGTGCATCATTTGGCCCCCACACACAAACCGCAACTGCTGACATTAATTTTTACTGACCTAATTAAATATCTCCGAGAGGATGACAAAAAGGGAAGGACCCAGAGCCCTCCAAAGCCAACAGGAGTCTTTTCCAGCGGCTGTAACGGCTCTGGAAGGCATCCAGAGAGAGAGGAGGAACCCCGGGGAAAGCCACCTTCTCGGGGGGGCACAGCCTCGAGCAAAGCCCTCTGTGCTCCCCTGCAGCAGCGTGGTGAACTCAACCTTGCCCCCTCACCCCGGGAAGCAAGATAAAGGAGTTTTTTTCTTGTTTTTTTTCTTTTTTTTTTTTAAATTTTATTGAACCATCAACAGCAGGCAGAAAGCATGTGCAGGCCAAACTGCTGCTGTGGGTTTGGCACAGGTGGCCGGCGCTGGGATCTGGGCAGCAGCTTTGCTGCTGACACACAGAAACAGAATCTGGCTCATCCTCTTCCTCCTCCCCAGCAAAAAGGGGACGGGATAGCAGGGAGGCTCTGGCACTGCTTTTGCCACCCCAATCTCCGACCTATGAGAGAGCAAATGCACAGCTCACGCAGCAAACTTTTCAGTGCAGAACAGCTCTTAAATTTGGCATTGGAGCAGAGCTTGCTTCACCTGCAAACACTTTCACACTGAATGATCCTCAACTTTTCTCAGCAAGCCCAGAAATATCTCCTGGCACCTCTCAAGTTTCCTGCTGGCTTGTCCCAACCCCTCGTGCAAACCCTGCCTGCCCGCAGCTGCACACCGACATTTCGGGCTCTGCTGTAAAACCCAGTAACAATAAGCAACTGTTGAGCTGGGCAGGTGTTAAAATATTCCAACACCCAAAGCTCTGCTGTACGAAGGCAATTAAAAATCAGATGTATTTATTTTCACTTCTCCCCCCCCCCCCTTTTTTTTTTTTTTTCAAACTTCTCTGGTTTTTTGTATCAGTAACATAAGAGCATTGTTTAAAGTTAAGGACCATACATCCTCAATCGGGAAAACACACCAAGAGCTG